ATTACACTTCCATAGTTATCTCTATTTTTTATTCCTATCTTTTTTATTTTAATTATTATTATTATAACYTAATATTATCTATATCATTGGAATACGATAGGTATTCATTTAATTTGATAATTTACGATTCTACATAATATATTAATACCTTTTCATTCACGTTATTCTACACAACAGCAAAACTAGTTAAGGTAATTTTTATTTTTACCAATTTCACTTATACTTTATAACCATCTCAATATTAGTATGCCATTAATTGTGTTAAATTATTTTGTATTTTATTAGCTATACCCTATACGTTTATTTTAATTATAATTTCGTAACAACTAATACAATTAAAAAATACACTCTTGAAACCTTCCAACAACTATTAAAGATGAGTGATGACCTACGCTAGTACACTTACCTAAATTCTAAACACACCGATTATACATGTGAAGTGGAAATGAGTGGGTACATAAAAAGATGATAACAAACCTTCGTCCGAACACAGCATTCTGCAGAGATTAAAATATTTATATGTTAATAGTCAATAGATTAGGTTKATTTATTTAACCAATCAACCAGTTAATGTAATGTTATATACATTTTAATCACTTAAATTTGTTTATACTAATAAGGTATTAATAATGTTCACAGAATAATATTCAATCTACTTTGGTAAGTGTCTGTGATTCCTGTCGATCATTAAAATATTTCAATTTAGTCGAGGTAGAATGTATTTACCAGTTTTTCTAACTTTAATTTTAAGTTTTATGGTAAAACGAAACTATTGTAATGAAAAACCAGTGATTGGAATACTAACACAAGAAGTKCATTGGTCCTATAGTTTAAGAAACTTAGCACCATCAAATAACTCATATATAGCTGCATCTTATGTCAAATCAATTGAAGCTTCTGGAGGACGAGTTATACCAGTTTTCACAAACAGGACTACTGAATATTATATGTATGTAACAACAAAACAATTACATTTTCTAAAAAAACAATTATTTATATTTTAAAATGTTTTAGGGGTGTAGTGAACAAAGTGAATGGAATTTTGGTCCCTGGAGGAGGATGTGCGTTTAATATTAGTTTCGGAATCAGTCAATCAACGAATGAAATTTTTCACATTGCCAAACGTGTAATTAATATATAATCTAATAATTCAATTAATTTTAAAAGCTATTTTTTTTTAAAGGCCAAACATTYGGGTAATCTCTAAAAACGTTGTGTAGCGGTTACACAATAAATAACCCGTATACCTATGTAAATAATAAAATCGACTATTTTAACTAACTATTGTATGTTATCATAGTAAGAAAACTATATAACTTGATATCTTTCTTGTTTTATAGTTTCATTATAAATTATACTGCAAGTCTCTAACTAGTAACTATACCGTGCCTTGACAATYATTAGTTGATTAGTCTGCAGGACATCATTTTTATTGTGTATAGAGAGGAGTAGTTAGTCATAATAAAATTACTTAACGACAGCATCTATAAACGCCAAAATTAATCTATGCCCATTGCACCCTTCAGATAACAATGAATATGCATGGTGGTTCTTTTATCCAACAACACTCATTATTTCAAAAACTATTGACTTTTTCAATTTTTTTTTTTCAAAATTTTAGATCCATGTTGTTCTAGAATTATATAATTTTCACCCCTATATTTATTAGGTAAACCACTATCAACTTTTGATTTTCAAATGACAACCTATATAGGTAGGTACTTAAAATTTCATTAACTAATAAAGCTATTTGTTTTATGAATTTTCRTGTTTAAATTTTTATTTTTCGTTAATGCGTTGACGAGATATAGTGTCTAGTATTGAAAAAAATTGTATCGACCTGGGGGTCTAAGAAAGGCTAATATTTAGTAGTAGTATAACTACGTCATGARTGTATGGTGGGAGAGGGAGCTGATATTTTAAACTTTAGATCGCGCGTTTTATATTACAGGTGAACACAACATAATAAATTTATGAAGTTTGAGATCATCAAGTATATAATTCCCCCAAAATGGTCCAAGTTATAGTCCTGACTTTTTTGTAGAAAGCTGAAAAAAACTATTTTAAACAAAGAAATGAAAATATGTTATAGAAAAAAAATTAAATGTTTTTTACACCCGACTTCAAAAAATAATAAGAATTGTTCCATTACACGGGTTTTAAATTTTCTCACACAAACTTCAGGTTTAACAATTTTGTTTATAGATTAACGATTACGGAGATCATTTTCCAATACTTGGAATTTGTCTAGGATATGAACTGCTTCTAATCGCATCCATTGATGGAATAAACCCTCTGACACGCTGTAATTCTAACAACGCAAATTTACCTCTAAATCTAATACCAACAATGGARGAAAAAAGTGTGTTATTCAAAACAATGCCAAAGGATGTTCGAAACATATTACTTACAGAACCAGTAACAGCAAATCATCATAAGTATGTTTAACTATTCAATATTTATAAAATAAATAACCTGTACCTAGCCTGTAGGACATGACTAATTTACCATTAATGTAGTATTTTATCGGGTACCTATTCCTTGTATAAGGTATATTCAATTTTAACAGTATAATATTATAAATTATAATAAAATAAATGAATGTACTAATAATGCTATAGAACACAGATGTGGCAGTTAGATACCTAACTATAAATTAAAGATATAATAACTATAACATACTAACATCTCAAACTTTCGATAACTATATTCAGTGGACAGTCGTGTTGTGTTATGAAAACTACTCAGACGATAGGGTCGCCAACCAGAGACTATTATTCCAGGATTACTATGAATTTTTGTTAAATAATATAATATTATAATATAAAGATAATTATTGGAAATTAATAAAAAACAAAGCGGATAAATGGATTAAACTCTGATGTACATCAAAAATCTAGAGAATATAATTTATCTGTTAAATTTGAATTTAATTGTATAAAATTATGATGCATACGAAAAACAATTTAGAGATGAGCCGAAGACAGTCTTTCAGTCTATAATATTACTAATAGTATATATTTGATGATATGATTGATTAAAGTGATTCATTTTATTATTTTGCATTAGCAATTTCTAGACTAGCTTAAATTAGTTTTTAAATAATAGCAAAATAACTAGTCTAAAATCGTTAATTTTGATTTATTAAAATTTAAAATATCGGTAAAAAAAAACTGTGCTTACATATATTTTAGATTTATTTGATTACAGTATAAACAACAACGAGGTCCTTTTTTCATTCCTTATAGCTGAAAAAAAATTGAATTTTTTGTGATTATTTTTTAACTACAAACTAATTTGTAAATTTGATGAATTTTGTCAACATTTGAACTTAAAACACTAATATAAAAAAAAAATCGTCCGGAGCGATGAATGTATTTTACCATTGATTATAAATAATCTATTTATAATCAACGATTTTACTTTTGAACCCCTCACGCACCATAGTACCGATTAGATTCACTTTCCAACCAGAAAAGATAATGAAAGTTGAAAATCGGAGCATTTTTATATCTGATAAGATAATGCGTCATTACATATATGAATATTACATAATTTTGAACGTTACTATGTATATTTGTATCAACTAATATGATTTCTGATTGGTTTTGAAATTTCATAAAATTTATGTATGAACTAGGTACCTATTACAATAATTATATTGTCCCTAAATTACTTTTTATAACTTCTRCAGAGAAAAAACAACACAAACTTTAAAAAAAGATTTCTAACAACTTGAACATTTTCTATTAGATGTTAAGTCTTATAATATTAATATATTATACATTCAATGTTTTAATGATTTTATTAATTCATTT